TGCCTTTATTTTGACAGCTAATCCCAGCCTCTGTGTTCCAAAGACTGTTTCCACTTTTCTTCTCATTCCTGCCAAGTGTAATCTAAAGGAAGTGGCCACTGGCAAAATAGTACCGCCCAACTAAAGGGAACCTGCTTATGCACATGCAAGAATTGCCAGATATCAGCAGAGCTATAACAGATGTAGAGATAGGACAGTTGTGTCAGAAGTAGACTGAGGTACTGTAGACTGAATGTGTTCCCTCCACATTCAGATGTTGAAATCCTAACCCCTATGGTGATGGTATTAGGAGGCCAGACAATTGAGAGATGATTAGGTCATGAAGCCTCTGCCATCATGAACAGAATTGATACCTGTATAAAAGAGGCTCAACAGGGACCGTTTGGCCCTTCTACCATGTCAGAACAGTAAAATTGCCATCTATGAACCGGAAATCATGTCCTCACTAGACACTGAATCTGCTAGTGCCTTTATAATGGATGGCCTAGCCTTCAGAATTACCAGCCTGAATGGGCTAGAAGGGAAGGGAATAGAAATAAACTACAAATTCTAATATCCTTAGGCTATTACATCCTAAAAAATAGCAGGTGATAATTTTTTAAATTATCAAGCCATATTAAGTTGAAAAACTCTTGAGATGTATTGAAGACTGAGCTGGTGATCTGGAAAATTAAGTTAAGGGATCTAACTTCTCAGGAAGAAGTTGAGACATGAAGGATTAATTTAGGAATTCCAGTGTGTGGTAGAAGGTTTATAAGTAGAAAAAGACAACATTGAGGAGGAAATATCAAAGAAATATATCTTACTTAGAGAACTAACAGTACCCAGAGAATAGAGGAAATAAATCACCTAAAGAAAAACAAAGCAGCTTAATTTTTTTTGTCAATAACTCAGCCTGTCAGAAGAAAGTAGATCAAGATCTCCAAAAGAGCGGGACAACATAAACTGACCTTAGAAGTATTTACTAGGTAAAACTACCACTGAGTTGTGAGCACACAAGGGAGAAGTTTTCACACACGCTATGTCTCTCTTTGTGCCATCAGATAATCTTAAGAAGACTTTGCTGAGCTTGTACTATAATACGATAAAATGAATTAGAAAATATGGAAATATTTTACCATGTTGTAGTCTTTTAAAAACTAAAAATATAAAAATATGAGTAGAATTTAAAATTTCAGCTTTTCATGACATAAATGCATGAGCTGGTGTGGAGTATTAGGTAGAGGAAGACATTAAGTGTACTGTCTTAGAGGCTGTAGATTTAGGTTAACTATATTTTAATTGAAAATGAACACCTATCCTTATTGAAAATTGAGGACTTAGCTCCTAGTGGCCAAAGTAGTTATTTGAGTAACAAGATGAATAACAAAGACATTGGATTGCAACCCAAAGAATGAAATAACTATTCATGAACCTCCCCCATATTCATCTATTGCTATGATGTTTTTACCATATAGGCACTATTGTTTGCTATTCCTTCCCCAAGAGGTGGTAGGTGCTTGAGGCCCTTCCCCTGAGTGTCTGGATTTAGTGACACCTTTCTGAAAACAGGGAAAAATAATGACTTTACAGTGTACTACCCTTCCCTGCCTCAACTAAGGGACTCAAGTGAACATCTCTACTGATGTCTCCATATGTAATACCCTGATAAAGGGACTTTATGGCTAGCTATTTTCCTAAAAATTCCGTATTCTCAATCTGATAACCAGAAATAGACATATCCAGCTTATGAAATGTGTACAGAATATCTGATCAGCACTATTCAAGAATCAGAAAAAAACAAAGGGAACCTGAAGAGCCATACAGAATGGAGGAGACTAGGAAACAGTGAAGATTAACCATAGTAATGTGTTATTGATGAGCTCCTATCACAGAAAAAGGACATTACTGGGGAAGCAAAGTCTGTAGTTCGTGTAGTAGTACTATCCAATGTTAATTCATTAGGTTCCTTTATTTATTTTTATTTATTTATTTTTTTTGGCAGAACCGGGGATTGAACTCAGGCCCTTGTGCTTGCCAGGGAAGCGCTTATTCTACCGAGCCATCTCCCCGGCCCCTTCTTTTTTTATTTATAAGAACTCTTTTTAGTTATGAAAATACTATCATAGTTTTGGAAGGTGTTAATAGAAAGTTTATGAGAATTCATTATACTTTCTCTGCAGCTCTTCTGTAAATCTAAAATTAATTCAAAATAAAAAACTAAAGCAACTAATCACTCTTAAGAATAGAAACCAGGGGCTGGGAAAATGGCTCAGTGGAATAAGCGCTTCCCTAGCAAGCACAAGGGCCTGAGTTCAATCCCTGCTTCTGAAAAAAAAAAAAAAAAGAATAGAAACCAAGGACTGTTACTCCCAAAGCATTAAAGGTACAGTAGGATGGAAAAAGAAAAATGAAAGGAATTAGACTGTTTCACACTGGTTTGCCATTGTTTCATAATTGATACTAGCTAATTAGGTTATCTAAATGGTATTAACTGATCAATTATACGTGTCTACATCAAAAATAGAAAGCTTAATTTGTAAAAAAAAAAAAAAACCCTAAAAATTCAAGTTACTTGCTTTTTGTAGAAGCCATACAAGGTCAAAATGATAGAGAACCGTTAAATATAAAGTTGTATAAAAAACAGCTATATTGAGGCTGGGAAGATGGCTCAGTAGAACAAGTGCTTGCCTGGCAAGTGCAAAGGTCTGAGATCCATCCCTGCTTCCACCAAAAAAAAAAAAAAAGACAGCTATATAGCGGAAAAGTAAAATTTCATATTAGGAGCATTAAAAATGACAGTTATATTTCATATATAGTTTATGTATGATCAGCATATAATGTTTTACCTGCTAATATAGATCATCGTACAGATCATAATGTAATTATGTATTTATACAAATATGTGTTATTACTATGAAATGTTATGAGCATGTCCTATAATTCGAAATGGGGATCTATAGTCAGTGAAATTGATAAATGGAAAAGAACATGTTCAGGGAAATTTTGGCATGCCTATTACGTAAACAGAAAGCTTGGCATGCCCACAGTCTTCTCCTCTCCGTCTTCTGTTTCCCCTGCTTCTTCCTCCGGCTGCTTACCAGCCACACATTGCCTGAGAGAACTGCCAAGCTCCCTAAGCCTTAGGGAAGGTGCAGTCTTTAAACCTGGTAAGTAGACCTGGATCACTGGAGTGGAAAAGTCAAAAAAGTGAGGGTGGTGAATACTCTCCTGGGAAATAAAATACTTCCGCAGTAAAAAGTATGCCTCCCAAATTTAAATTTAAGCGCCATCTAAATGATGATGGTGTCACTGGTTCTGTGAAAAATGAAAGGAGAAATCTTTTAGAAGATGATTCAGATAAAGAAGAGAACTTTTCTAAGGGGACCATCTGGACCAAGATTTGGACCTAGAAATGATAAAATCGAGCATGTTCAGAATCAGGTGGATGATGTTAATGATGTCCTGAAAGAAAATATCACAAAGGTAATTGAAAGAGGGGAGAGAGTAGACAAACTATAGGATAAGTCAGTTTATTGGATAATGCAACTGCTTTTAGCAACAAATCCAAAGAACTATGAAGGCAAATGTGCTGGTGTGAATGCAAAATAAAAGCCATCATGGCTTCAGGTGCTGCTATCCTTTTGCTAGTGATCGTCATTCTCATAGTTATGAAATACCATACTTGATCTGATGGTGGAGCTCCTCATTAAACAAGACCTGGGACATTATTATTAATAGACTGCTGCATAATTTAAATGAAACCTATGTGCATAACTTTCAAAACTTCTTTTTCAAGAAACTAAGAGGCAAGTATCACTTCAAATTGGAGCGTTGAGAATGTCCGATTATTTTCTTACCTTCCAATAAAATGTACTTTGAATAATTGTGTAAAGCAAAGATAACTATTTTGCTATATTCCAAGGATCTAATTTGAAACTAGATACTTGCCAGTTCATTATTTGTGTATATAGCCAAGCACTGAATGGCAGTGTTTCATACTAATATTTTAGTGGCATAAATTCTTGCATCATTGCATCAAGATGGGGGTCAGGCTAGGAGTCCAAAAGCCTATGTAGAGAACCAAATCATTATGCTAAAGAAGATCCAGAACCATTCCATCAGTGCTGCAAGGATGTCATTCTTTTTGTAATACGATTGCTTTGTAAGCAGCTTCCTCATGTTTATGGGTGTAACAAAAGCTAAATGTTTCTGCCTTTGACTATAACTAAAAACATTCCAATAAACCTATTTTTCACTGTAAAAGACAACAACAAGAAAACCCAGAAGGCTCAAGTAGGCCTAATGTAAGAAAACAAATAATAGATTTGCTTTAAAAGATATATAGGACTTTATGCCTAACAGAAAATGGGTATTATTTTCTAGTAATTAATGAAAATTTACTGTTGGGACTGGGGAGATGGCTCAGTAGAATAAGCGCTTGCTAAAGGCCTGAGTTCACCCCCTGGTTCCGAAAAAAAAAAAAATACTGTTAAGCTATGAGTAAGATGTCAACAAATTCTAAAAAGTAGACATCATGTGGGGCATTTCATTTGACAGTTTATTGAAGAAATTGGTAGTGTATAGATCACAGAATCAAATACTGAAATACACCAAGCTGTAGAAAATTAAATGCGTCTTTAGGATTTTAATGTGACTCTTATTTAGAAATGGAAATACAAGCAAAATATATTTATCACTGAATAAATATGAATGCACTGTATACTGTAACCTGTAGAGTAAAACACTTGGAAGATTTAGGACCTCTGCTGTGCTATCCATAACTTCCTACAGTGATAAAAATGGTATGTGATTGTATCATGCTATGTGGTAGCCACTTACATGTGGGTACTGAGCACTTGAAAGACTAGTACTATTGAACTAAAGTTCCAGTTTTAATTAACATATTTAATTAAATTTAAACAGCAATATATGGCTACCATGTTGGGCCATACAATTTTGTAGTGTCTGATAAAGCATTCTAGAAAAGATAGAAAAAATACTAATTTATAGTTAGCAAGATGAATCAAGTAATAAATATTACATTTTTAAGAAAAATGATACATTTGAAAATACATGTAGGTGAAGTGGAATTTTAAAAATATACAGGAAAAAAATTTGTCTCAGAAAAGTAGAACACTTAGAATTGTCGGTAATCACTAAGGAACTATAAAAAGTAGTCTAAGATCCACTTATATAACTGTCTTTTGGACCAAGTTTTACAGACATTTTAAAAATAAGCTTCCAGAGGTAGATAATTTCTATGTTGAATAAAATGTGTAGCAATATAGAATAATATTGATGCTATTATATTCTTCTAGGCTACCCTATAACCCTGACACCCAAACCAAATAAGACTGTACATTAAAACAAAATTGTGTCCATTTTCACTTGTGATCATAGATGCAGAAATTTTGTAGTCATTGAATTGAATCCATTACACATTATGAGTTGGTTTATCCCAGCATACCAGTGATGGCTTGTCACTAGGAAATCCAGTACTTTACTACCTGCCAGATTAAAGGGTAAAAAATAATAGATCATATTCATACTGAAAAAGTATTTGATAGATTTCAGCCACCATTTCTTATATTTAAACTCTTCAAATAGAAGGCTTTAATATTTGATAAAGATACTGACTAGAAACCTTTAGTAAGTTTCATATTTAATGATGAAAATGTTCAAAATATTCCCTGTAAGTCCATGGGAAAAACAAAATGAGCCATTATTTTAGTTGTTCTAGCCAATGCTTCAAATAAATAAGTGTCTAATGGTCTAAAAACAGAGACAAAAAATGTCACTTTTTGAAGATTATAATTATCTCCCTAGGAAATTGAGTAGAGTCAACTAAAATATATTAGAACTAAATAGAACCATGAAGTATTTAAAGCAGATTGTTTGAATAGAGAGCCAAATATCTTCTTTATGTTATTTAAAACTGGAACATTAGTTCAATAGTACATAGATTTAAAATATTTGAGAATAAATATATAAGGACAGATACAAAATCTATATAAAAGTAACTGTAAAAATCAAGAACATAACCTATTCTCTGAGGGGCATACTTTCTGAAGAGGGAAGTTTAAAACAGCAATGATATTCTCTGGTTAACTTTTTTTTTTTTTTTCCAAAGTTTTATTGACAAACAGATAGCAATGAGACAGTTTCAAATCATATCAGAAGGACAGTTTCAACAAATAATACACTGCATACATTCTTCTTAGTGATTAATTGCTGTACAAGATGCGGACTTGTGATCCTATTTACAAA